ATTGTTGAGTGTAAGCATCAACACATCATGAATATAGCCCGTGCACTTAGATTTCAATCTCATGTTCCACTTCAATATTGGTTTGATTTTATCTTGACTGTTGTTTACATTATAAACCGAACCCCCACTCCTTTTCTTCACAATAAAACACCATTCGAAATCATCTTTGGTAAACCCCCATTTATCATCATATGAGAATTTTTGGTTGTCTTAGTTTTGCTTCCACTCTATCTCATGGAAGAAAGAAATTTGATCCAAGAGGTAGGAAATGTGTGTTTCTCGACTATCCCTTTGGCATAAAAGGCTACAAGCTCTTAGACATACAAACCAACCAAATCTTTCATTCTCGGGATTTTGTGTTTCATAAAGGAGTCTTTCCTTTTAATACAAAGTCTTCCGCTACCACTCCTCCTCTCTCATCCTCCATTCCTCTCACCACACCATCACCCTTCAATTTTTCATTGCAGTAGCTACCTTCCACTCAATCTCCCTCCACACATAATCACACTGCCCCTCCCATTTCTGTCATTGCTCCACCAACTCCTTTTCTCCTCCATTACCAGATTCTTCCCCTCCCACCATCCCTTCACCACCACCAATTCCTCATGTTCCTCGCAGGTCAACCAGGACTAGGAATGCACCCAAATTTCTGCAGGACTACCATTGTCAAGCAGCTCTCATTTCCTCCAACCGATTGCTGTCCACGAAGCTGTGTCCTCTACCAGGTAATTCTTTTCCTCTTTCTCATACTTTATCTTATCATGCCTTTTCTCCTACTTATCAAGCTTTTTCTACTTCTATCTCTACCCATTTTGAACCTAAAAATTATAAACAAGCCCTTAGTCACTCGGGATGGTGCCAATTGGCTGCCTTAGAAGCCAACAACACTTGGATTTTAACAGATTTACCTGATGGTAAATCTCCTATTGATTGTAAATATGTCTATAAGATCAAGTATCACTCCAATGGCTCAGTTGAGAGATTAAAGGCTCGTTTAGTAGCTAAGGGCTACACACAGCTTGAAGGAGTTGATTTTAATGAGACATTCTCACTCGTTGCCAAGTTGGTAACTGTGCGGTCTCTTCTTGCTATTGCTTCCATTAAGGGTTGGCATTTACATCAATTTGATGTAAATAACGTCTTTTTGCATGGGGATTTAGATGAGGACATTTACATGAAGAAGCCTCCCGATTAAACTAAAGGAAAACCCACTCAAGTTTGTAAGTTACTCAAAAGCTTGTACGGGCTCAAACAAGCTTCAAGGCAACAGTATTCTAAGTTCTCCACCTCTTTGATTGAATCTAGTTTTTCTCAAAGTAAGGCTGATTATAGTCTTTTCACTAAAGAGTTTAATGGTTCTTTCACAGCTTTACTTGTGTATGTCGATGACATACTTGTGGCTAGTGATAATCTTGATTGTGTGACTGCATTGAAGGCTTTTCTTGACAGCAAATTCAAAATGAAGGATCTCGGTTCATTGAGGTATTTCCTTGGCATTGAAATAGCTCGGTCCTCCAAAGGTATCCATTTATGTCAATGGAAATGTCTTTTGGATATTCTAGCTGATAGTGGTAATTTGGGCAGCAAGCCAACTAAAGTTCCCATGGAGCAAAATCTCAAGTTAGCTCAATCTTCAGGCCAACCCTTATCAGATCCAAGTATCTACAGGCGATTAATCATTCATCTTCTCTACCTCACAATCACTCGGCCTGATATTTGTTATAGTGTTCAAACTTTAAGTCAGTTTATGGCTCATCCTACTGATTATCACTTGCTGGCAGCTCAGAAAATTCTGAAATACCTTAAGGTTGCTCCCAGACAGGGTCTTCTTCTCTTAAGTTCTTCCTCTCTTCAACTCCATGCCTATTGCGACTCCGATTGGGCCTCTTGCCCTGACACCAAGCGTTCAGTCACAGGTTACTGCATATTCCTTGGCTCTTCTTTGATTTCCTGGGAATCAAAGAAGCAATCTATTGTGTCCCGATCCTTAGCCGAAGCTGAGTACCGTTCAATGGCAGCAACCTGCTTAGAACTCACCTGACTGTGTTACATCCTCTCTGCTCTTCATGTACCTCATCCTCAGGCTGTTTTCTTGTATTGTGACAACAAGGCTGCCATCCACATTGCAACCTTGTGTTTCATGAGAGGACGAAGCATATCGAGCTCGATTGCCACTTGATACGTGACAAGATCCAAGAAGGCAGTATCCAAACCTGCCATGTCTCAAGTGCTCATCAATTGGCTGATATCTTCACTAAGGCCCTATCCTCTCTTGTACTTCATCATCACCTATCCAAGATGGGAGTCCTTAATTTGCACTCTTGATCTTGCGGGGGGGTGGGGGTGGGTGGTGTATTGGAGAATATCCCACAGCCCTCTACTTTAACAGAAGAGAAGGCACCTAATGATGCTTAATTCTAGTTTGTTATTTTGCTGAGTTGTACATAAGGGCTTATTTGTATTTTTCCTTCTATAGGTTGTTAGAATATTCTTTCTCTGCTTTTGTATATATATTGGATACTGTACAGATGAATTACATAACGGAAAGGCATATTGCCATTTACCTCATTCTCTGTTTCCTTTTTCGCCTTTCCTCTTTTGTTTTTCTTTCTGTTACAGTTTCTATGTTTTTTAGGGGTGTTTTTGTAATTTTTGGATGTTTTGGTAAATTTTGTGATAATTGTTGAACTTACTTTTCCTTTGTTTTTTCATTAGGTTTTAGGAGAGAATTATTTAAAGGCTGTTTCAGCTCTAAGAACACAGTTTTTGGCTTATTATATGTTAATGAAGTATTGAAAAACCAGAGAGTTTTCAAATTATTTAGTATTTGAATCTTGATATAATTCGGTGGTGGTTTTTCATATCACTTCATATCACTTGTTGTCATTGGCTTCAGTCATCGCTTGATTGTTTCGGCATCATTCAATAGGGAACTTCGAAGTAAAGGTGGACAAATGAGGCACGATCGGTTTTCTAACTGAACCAAACCATATCGTACCACAAATTTTGTAAAAAAGTCATACTATATAAGTAATATAACTGAACCATACGGAACCAAAAAAATGAGTATGATACCGTTTGGTTTTTCAGTTTTTCAGTGGGGGCTTTTGACATTTATAGGGGTTGTTTTTTATAATATTTCTAGAGGATTTTGGTATTTTAGGAGGTATGTTAAAAAAAAAAAAAAAAAAAANTCATTATTCTCTTCTTCTACAAGACGATGGAAAATTTTGCAAGATCATGTTTCTAATTTGACACTTAAGCCATTATCACAAACATGTTGGGAAAGTCGTGTTGAAAGTGTTAAAGCAATAAAATTTCAAGCTCCACAGACCACAAATAAGAGATGCTTTATATCAATTAGCAGAAACTAGTGAAGATCCTAAAACAAAAAGTAAAGCTATTTCTTTAGTAACGTATGAGATAGAAAATTTTGAATTTCTATTAGGCATGAATATTTGGTATGAAATGTTATTTGCTGTTAATGTGGTTAGTAAATATTTACAATCTAAAAATATGCGTTTAACTATGTCACAAGAAATATTAGGTAATTTAGCTATATTATCAATTGAAAAAAATTTGAGTTCTAAACTTGAATATAAAAATTTAATTAGTGATTTTGCATCTCAAAAGGTAAGAAAAATAAATTTGAAATAATTTTTTAATATATACTTATATTATTAGAAGGCCCCTAAAGCAACTCTTGTCTAGGGCCACAAATGTTCTTGAAACGGTCCTGAATATTCAAACACATGGTCCTTAATGATCATATTTAACGCTTTTAATCATCTATAATAAGCTCTCCTCGGTTTCATAATTGAAAAGAACTTTAATATAGAAAAGCCGAAAAGGTGACGAAGTAATGTTTAAAAAAAAAATTGTTCATTGTCCATTGTTGGTGTCACAGGCAGCAGCTATCTACATTCATGGTACCATAACGAACTCGAATGGGAATCACAAACGTCATGGGACCGATAGAGAAGATGACATTGGCTAATCGTCCAGTTAAAGGTTTATACTTCACAGTAGCTGGTGCTCCTCAGGTACTTCAATTTTTTCTTTTTCTTTTTAACATTATAATTATTAACCTCTTTGGTTGAAATACTTTATCAGCTTGGAAGTAATATTTTCATCCTTGACCACTAGAAGCAAAATTTATTCTTAGATCTAATTTAATATGGCAAGAAAATTAGTTGTTCTCAACCTCGAAAGAATGAAATTAATGGACAAGAAAGTGATTAATTACAATTTACTATATAACATGAATGGTTTAATGGATGGGATGAATTGCAGAGTCTTTGCGTTGCATTACTAAGTTATATGGGAAATCTAAGGGTGGCTCTGGGAGCAGAAAGAGGGTTCATTGATGCCCAGAAGTTGAAGAATTGCATAGAGAATGCATTTCAGATGATATTCAAAGCTGCATGTGAAAGTAGTACTCCTCAACAAGAAAGAGAATGACTTATTAAAGTGCTTTTTATGTGTGTTCCCCATTTACTTCCTTCTTGTCCTTCAACCGTCAGGGCAACAGCTGAATAAAGAATAATTATAAACCAGAAGTTTTATGGATATTTATCATAAGGATGTTCATACATGTGTGTTTCAATTTTGCTTCTGGGGATAGTAGCCAGATATTCCTTCTCATGTATTGAATTAATGAATATATATATATATATGAATTCAATCTTCTTTCTTTGGCAATTCATTTATACATCTTCAAAATTAATAAATTAAATAATGAAAAGTAGATATGTTAAAACTGAGCTCAAAAGTTTTGTCGCTCCAACCAAACTCTTGTCCAGTACCGAGTGAAAAACTTGTGAAGTAAACAAATGAGAATTTTCTTTTTAATCCAATAATTCGTTGTAAGTATAATCAAAATCGTAGGGAGAAGGAAAAGGAGGAGTTTTGTGCTGCTTAATGAACTTCTCTTGAGATTACGGAGCTGAGTTTGGTAATTGTATTTGTTTTGTTTTATGGGCTTTCTGTAAGTTAATTTCGAAGTTGGCTATTTATGAGAAAATGAAAACCCCATTCAAATGAGGTAGAATTTACCTTGGCATCAGAACAGTAGAAAACACCAAAGAGAAATCACAAATTTGTAAGTGGAGATCCCCTGTCCTTGGCTGTAAAATTTATGTTCACCGTTAAAGTTTAGAGCTGGTAAGATACATTTGTTTTGGTAAATAAGTGTATATACATTTCTCCGTACCACAACTGGCTGCGTAAAACCTGTGTTTGCCTTCGCGCGAAACGTGTTTGTATAAATGTCTGCAACAAAACTATCCCTCAACTTCACTATTTAGTTGTTGTTAAGGGCCACCCTTAAAAATTAACTTTATCATTTGACGCTTTTGCTTTGTTTTTAAGGGGTTACAACATTAATATTTTCCTTTGAACAGAGAGATATTTCAAGCTTGACGGAGGATTTAGAATGATAAAGACTCTAGTCCCGCCTTGCGAAGTACGTATAATCTTCTTAGCCTACTACTTTTTATATTAATAATGGCGTGCAATTTTTGTACTTGCGGTTATTGTGTTTTAATGTTTGTTGTATTTTTGTAAGGCATTGAAGTTACCCGTTGCAAAGGTTGCTGGGACTAAGGACTCTAAGAAGTTAAAGTGCAAAGGGTTGAGAATGGAGCTCAAAATAACTCAACCTGATGATTGGCATCTTCACCTTCGAGATGGTGATCTTCTTAAAGCTGTTGTTCCACACAGGTTGTCTTACTTTTAAAGAAATGTTCTTTCATGTTTAATTGCGTTATTTGTTGATTATGGCTTTATCCTTGTGTTTTAATTATTGTATTCATATCCATGCATAGCGCAAGTCATTTTGGAAGGGCACTCGTGATGCCGAATTTGAAACCTCCTGTCACTACCACAGATTCTGCTGTGGCTTATCATGAATCCATCATGAAAGCTCTGCCCACCAACAGCAAATTCACTCCACTTATGACACTTTATTTGACAGATACCACTAGTCCGCATGAGATCAAGCTTGCTAGTGAGTACAACTTACTGTATGGTTGTTGCATGCCTGTTGTTTTAAATTTGGAGATTTTAAGTTTGTTTTTCCACTCATTTTTTAGTTCAACTCAAAGAGTACGACTTACTGTATGGTTGTTGTATGCCTATTGTTTTAAATTTGGAGATTGTAAGTTTGTTTTTCCACTCATTTTTTAGTTCAACTCAAATGTGGATTAGATACAAGTATTTTAAGGCTATTTGCATTAATTGATATTCTCTCTTAATTTTTCTTGGCTTTGAAGTTGAAAATTGATAGGATAGTGCCCTCTTATTATCTTGTAGCTTAAGAAGAATTATGAAATTATTTTCTCCTAATTCAATCTCACTTCTAGACTGTGAAAACGCCGTGCATAATTAACATGTAAAAAACCTTTGAAGTTGGCAGTTTGAGTTTGTTTTATTCTGGATCTCTTAAAACTCAATGGTTGAGGACAAACTTCTAATTATCATTACAAGGATGATGCTTAGGGATACGTACCTGTTATTGTAATGTAGAGGCTTTCTGATACAATTAATGCTTCATGATAGTTGTTTCTCCCTTCATCTCTAGGGTGTAAATAAATCTTACAGTTTGAGTGATGTTGTGGATCACTTCAACAGGGAGAAGTGGGGTTGTATTTGCTGTGAAGTTGTATCCTGCTGGTGCTACAACTAATTCTCAAGATGGTGTTACGGATCTATTTGGGAAATGTCTACCTGTCCTTGAGGAGATGGCTGAGCAGAATATGCCATTGTTGGTAATTTTGCCATATCAAGCTAATCTTGACTTGGCTCCTTTGTCTATATGTATTCGAGTACAGGCTAAGACTCCATCTTAGAGAGTTCAATAGGCATAAATTTTAATATGTTTTATTTGTGGTATTGCTTGTCCGAATAGAAGGCTGAGAATTGGTCTATTTTTCTTTTTGGTGTAGCTTATTGACTGTTTGGCTTGGATTCTGTCAGTTTTGGTTTGTAGTTCTATATTCTATGTTTTGATGCAAGACTTAGATACAAGGAAAACAAATAAGAACATGTTGGAGAGTTCTCATTAACTTTCCCATCTTTAAAACCTTAATATGTTTATTTTTCAGACAAAAGGACTCTAGTTAAAATGTCAAAACTGTAAAAGTCAAACTATAGTTTGTTGCTTAACCCCCTATCTTGTGAAGTTTGAGGCTTGAGCTTCTCCTTAAAACATAAATTGGTAGAGTGCTTGATGCAAGCATGACATGTATTTGTATTATTGTGTTTGGTGTTTTCCCCTTTCTTTTCTTTACCCATTTGGAGAAGATGTTGTTTTCCACATGAACTTCCATTTGCATATCATATTCTATTTGTAGGTTCATGGAGAGGTTACAGATCCTAATGTAGACGTATTTGATCGTGAGAAGGTCTTCATTGACACTATTTTACAACCTCTGATCAAAAGGCTTCCACAGCTAAAGGTTGTGATGGAGCACATAACTACTATGGATGCTGTTAAGTTTGTTGAATCTTGCAAAGAGGGTACACAAATTCATTTTCATTGAAAAGTTTTGTCTACAACCTTTCTTTTCCTTTTTTTTTTTTTTTTTTTTTTCCTTTATTTGGGTTAAAGAAAATGCCCCTTCACCTGATGGCCTTTTTTAGATCTAGAAAATCATCACACCTCACTATATTTCTCAGGTTCTGTAGCAGCCACTGTTACTCCTCAGCATCTTCTTCTCAATAGAAATGCTATCTTTCAAGGAGGACTGCAGCCACACAATTACTGCCTTCCAGTACTCAAAAGAGAGATACATAGTATGTTCCATTTGGCGTCTCCTATGCAAGTTAATTCAATTTCTTATAAATGCATCAGTGACCATATAGTTTCTTTTTATCATATATTGTTTTCTTTTGCTGGGCAATGAACTTTTTGGTGTAGTGATTTAGATTCCATCAAGTCACAATAAAGTTATGACAGCTTAAGTTTACCTAGTTTCATTGTAAATGGCAAACACACTTGTTTCAATCTTTTTGGTGTTCCTGAGGTGGCAGCCATGGTGTTATCAGAACAATGTGTACTGATAGAATTTGTTTCAGTGACAGAAATAACAACTGCTTGACACATGAACTTGATAGTGAAATATCATTTTGGGTTGTCCATGTCAGAGTACTATGGGTTAATGGCTGGTTAATAATTAGGAGACGAATTACACTAACATTAGCTCTGAATCATGTATAGGAATTATTCTGCACATATTTTTTATTTTTTTTCCTTACTAATTTGTAAATCTCCTACATGATCACTGGTTTATCCAACTATTTTGTATCATCTTTTGAATAGAAATATAATCTTTTTCTGAAAAGAAGATGGCTGGTGAATTATCATTCTGTACACTTCCTTTGTTTGTGAATAATAAATTCTTGCATAGTATGAGAATGTATCAGTTTCCTGTTTCCTTTTCAATTTCTTCTCCTTGATCTCATGCTCTTGATTCCCATCTAGGACAAGCTATCGTTTCAGCTGTGACCAGTGGAAGTAAAAGATTTTTCCTTGGAACTGATAGTGCGCCTCACGAGAGGAGGAAAAAAGAATGTCCTTGTGGATGTGCTGGTATTTACAATGCCCCTGTTGCATTGTCACTGTATGCCAAGGTTTTTGAAGAGGTATAGCTTTTTTCATTACGTAATCCTTACCAAATGTTTTTATGATATCGACTTGTTTTCTTTTTTGAATAAAAGGTATTAATATCTTTTTAAGTTACTAAATTTCACAATAAATTTTCTTAAAATTGATTCAGTATGTTCATACTTAGTATATACTATTGCATTTCGCTTTTATTTTCTCACGGTTGTCGATGATTGAAATGGTTTTTGCTTGTTTTAGATGGGTGCACTTGGCAAGCTAGAGGCATTTACAAGTTTCAATGGACCAGACTTCTATGGGCTTCCAAGAAACACAACAAAGATTAAATTGAGCAAAACTTCGTGGAAGGTACCTGAGGCTTTCTCATTTTCATTTGGAGATGTCGTTCCAATGTTTGCAGGCAATACACTTGAATGGCAGCCATCCTTCATTTGATATACTGCAATAATATATAAAGATTTCTCTGGTCTTTTGTTTGTTCTGCAACACAGAATAGTTGTATTATGAAATCCTTGAATTATATCGGATGTTTCTACTCGAAGCAATTGTATTTTTCTATGCATTATATATTTTAGTGTATGCAGCTCATCATTATAAAGATTACATGTTTGATCAGTTTACTGAAAGTATATTTTTGTTTTAGAGAAGGCAGCTAATGTTGTATACACTTCTATCTAGTGTTTTAAAACTTTGGCCTAGCTCAGGTGATTGAACCAGTTCAATCGGGACTGAAGCCTTCACTAAGTCGAGTTACTAATTTTCTTATTCTTGAAAACCTTAGAAATTAGGATATCACTCCGTAAACAATTGAAAGTTGGAATGTTAGAGCTTTTGAAGAGGAATGGTTGGTGAGTGTAATGGTGGCGACGGTGGTGATTTCCGATGAGTGAATCAACCGAAAATTTCAAAACTATGTCGTCGAAAAAAACTCACTATTGTCGACGATTGGGGAAGCGGCGGGTGAGGGATGAGATGGGTTTTGGTCAAAAGGCTAAGAAGAGTGTTTTTAAAAAACAAGTTTTATTTGCCAAAGCCGGTGGTATTTGAGGTGTTTTTGTAAGATTTTAAACTTATAGAAACTTATTAATTTTTAAGGACATTTTTGTTAGATTTCAAATTTTTAGACACAGGTTAGACCCTCCAGTCAAACCGATTAACCTTGGACCTGGCCGCTGCCAGGTTTCACCCGGTTTTAAAACACCCTTCTATAGTTCTATCTGAACCAAATAAGCATTTTCATATTAATTAGTCAAGGTCATCAAGGGAAAGTATCCCAATTACAGTCTCAAAACGGTTTAACTTTTCTTCATCTGCGTAAAATTCCTGAATTATACGTTCTCTCACAAACACACCTAATCAGTTTGCAATTGGTTAGCTTGCATGAGTCTCACCTATCCAACAATAAGTCTATCAAGCCAATTTGTAATTTATGCAGTACCATCTCCAAAAGAAGCAATGTTCAAACAAATGAATCTTTCTTTTCAACACCAAGTGACGTAGGGCAATCCTTCAATTCAACAGTCTTCCACAAGTTCTGTATCAAAATTAGCTATTCAGGCATTGGCATGGGATTTTTTATTTTATTTTTTATACCAAAAATCATTTATATATGAAACAATTTTAAATTCTATAGGAAATATCGATTTTGCTCAAAACCAAAAGTGCATTTTATAAAGAATAAAATTATGTACACTAACCAATATGTACTAATCCAAGTACTAATATTGGAAATTTAAAATTCTCTCCAATTTTTTTTTTTCAAATTTCCAATGTTAGTACTTGGATTAGTACACATTGGTTAGTGCACATAGCATTACTCTTTTATAAATGGAGAACGACTTACACATACCCAAGGTTTGCCGTAACGACAAATTGGTACCTAAAAGGTTTTGAAACGACAAATAGGTACCTTCCGCCATATTCTGTTAGTGATTTCTGTTTATTAATAGTGAAAAGACTAAAATGCCCTTAAAAGTTTGAATTTTAGTTTTTTATAAATTTAAAAATTTCTAAAAAACCCCCTAGATTTACAAATTTAACTAAATACCCCAATATATAAAAATTTTGTAAAATAACAAAAATACCCCCACCACCTACAGTGCCAAATTCCGGCCACCACCGTCGGAATCTGGCCGGAAAGTTTCGTTACGACACAGACCCGTCGGATCTGTATCGTAACGCGTCGATCTGGCTTTTTCCGGCTAGATCCGTGGCTAATCTGGCCAGAAAAGGCCAGATCTACGGCTAGATCTGGCCGTCGAAGCCGCAAAACTCCATCTACAGTGTCGACGGCTAGATTTGGCCGTAGATCTGGCATTTTTCGGCTAGATCAACGCCAGATCTGGCTGCTGCTTCGACGGCCAGATCTGACCTTTTCCTGCCAGATCCGTGGCTGATCTGGCCAGAAAAGTCTAGATCGACACGACAGGTCTGTGTCGTAATGCAACTTTCCGACCAGATTCCAGCGATTGTGGCCGAAATCTGGCACTACAAGTGACAGAGATATTTTTGTTATTTTATAAAAATTTTATATATTGGAATATTTAGTTAAATTTGTAAACTTATGAGGTTTTTTAGAAATTTTTAAATTTATAAAAAACTAAAATTCAAACTTTTAAAGGCATTTTAGTCTTTTTACTATTAATAAACAGAAATCTGTCTTTTTACTATTAATAAACAGAAATCACTAACCGAACATGAAAGATATCTATTTGTTGTTTCAAAACCTTTTGGGTACTAACTTATCGTTATGATAAATCTTGGGTATGCACAAGTCGTTCAGCCTTTTATAAAAACAATATTAATATTATTAAGTAGGAATTTTATCAAGCACCTTGTGAGCGTCAAAATGCATTGAAACATTATCGGAAGTACCTGCACTCCTTCCAGTAACGTACAGGGACCAAAGATTGTAACAGTAACAACAGATATGTTACCGCGACAATGTGTCGTTTACGTTAGTACGACTACGTTTGATTAACAAATATTTAATTCAGAAATAGCAAATTTAAGAACCCAGAAAAGGAAAGGAGAAAATACATCAAGTATCAGAAATGAAAATCTTTCTCATACACAGTAGGTGGAACTGTGTCAGAAGGTGTCCTAAGATTTTCTGATTTTCATCATCTTGCTGGTATAAACTCTCCAAAATCAAACAAACCCAACTAACAAAAGTAAAGAATGGAACTAAATGGTAATCAAAGACATGAATCAGAAAGAACGTAGCGAAATGAGATGATTTTGATCAGATGAAATTAATCATCACTCATGCTTTACTTTCCTCATTTTCGTAGTTACATACAAATCAAAGACAAACTCATTAACAAATAGTGAGAGACAAAGAGGAGAGACTAAGACAGTTCTTCAGTTCCCAACATAAAGTTGTTATTTATAGGGAAGGGGCTTGAAGCCCTAGAGAAGATACTGTTGAAATTTGGACTGTTTGGTAACAGGCACATATTTGTTATTGGTTATGATTTTCCCGTGTTTGGTTTAACAATCTTGTTGACCCAGGAGAGAATTCACATAATTACATTTAACTCCTTTATTTTTGTACAAACTATTTTAGAGACCTTTTGCAAGTAAAATTTCACAAAATATTGATAAGATTATTCTTAGAATAAACACTGTTTGATTTGCGATAATTAATTCAATACATACTAGGAGTGAAGGACATAATAGGAGACAGTAGGTAGCAAAAATTAATACACAGTTAAACTGGAAACATTTTCTTAATGACATTGTATCTGTATGTAATATTTAGCAAACCAGCAAGAGATTTCATAGAACAGTAACTTAAGGAAGCAAATTAAAGGGGATGAGGACATTTTTGTGTCAATCTCTAGCGTTTTGAGGAGTACAAGTCATTTCAGAAGCAGCTTTGAGTATAACCTGAAATGCTTTCTCTCTGCAACACTTGGGGGAATTAATAAAGCATTTTTCTGATCTCACAGGCACAGCAACCCTTAGCTAAAGGAGTGGGAAAATCTGATTAACAAAACCGGATTGGGTAAATTGTGAACCGAACCGGTTATTCAGTTCAACCAAAAAGTTGAACCAAAACCAGACCAGTTAATGCATAAACCGAATTTGAACCGAACCGAATATTCGGTTCGGTTAACTGGTTGTCAATTCAACCCTAAATTCTGTAACTTTTACATTTAAGTCCCTAAATTCAGATATATATAATTATATATATAAATTCTTGCTGCATTCTTTGCATGACTATCTTGTAAAATTATCCATTTTCAAATGATGAATCCATAATATGAAATAAAAAGATAAAACATTCAATTATCCATACTCATTAATAAATACACTGGCAGAAAAAATGAAGGGTGCGTTTGGTTTAGTATTTTGGGTAGGATTTTAGGGATAGTATTGGGTTATTGGATATGGGAGTATTACGAGGTAAATTTTAAAAATTTATAAAAAAGCCCTTAGGTTTACTAATTTAAATAAAGACCCGAACATGTAAAATGACAAAAACACCCCCACCATCTGCAGTGTCAGATTCCGGCCACCACCGCCGGAATCTGGCCGGAAAATTTCGTTACGGCACAGACTTGTCGGATCTGTGCCGTAACACGTCGTTATGGCCTTTTCCGGCTAGATCCATGGTGGATCTGGCCGGAAAAGGCCAGATCTACGGTTTGTTTTGGCCGTCGACGGCCGGAAAAGGCCAAACGACGGCCATCTTTGGCCGTCAGCGACGGCCAAAGATGTGGCCGTCGTTTTCGGTCAACGACGGCCAAGATTTGGCCGTCGTTGACCGTCAACGACGGCCATTTCTTTGGCCCTCGCTGACGGCCAGATCTGGCCTTTTCCGGCCAGATCCGTGGTGGATCTGGCCGGAAAAGGCCACAGCGGTGAACTTCCGGCCATTTCTGGTCGGAAGTTTGGCCGTTGTACAGATTCCGGCGATCACCGACGGTGGTTGCCGGAATCTGACAAGTTGGGTTGATGGGGGTGTTTTTGTTAATTTTTAAACTTTTTTTTCAGGGGGTATTTAGTGAAATTAATAATCTTATGGGGTTAAAATGTAATTAAAAAAAATAGGGTAATATTTTGAGAATATTGTACCAAACGCTATTTGAAAAATAGGATCCAGAATAGGGATAAAAATATTAAACCAAACGCATACGAAAACATTTGCAAATTACAATTGTATCACTCAAATAAAAAAAGTCTTCTTCAACCATCTTAAAACGCCCCTAACTTCAAAATTCAGATCTCAAGTCTTCTTGAACCTGCTGCTAAATAAGGAACAAAAGCAAAATAATGATCAACAATTCAACATTATAATAATAAGAAATAATGATCAAAATTTCAGCATTATAATAATAAGATCATATAAATTTATAAATGAAAGGAGCAAAATAATGATCAAACATTTCATTAACTTCATTCAAACATTTCTCTTACCAACAGTTTCAAGATCATATAAATTTA